CAGCAGGGTGTCTATGTGATAGGCATTGGCACAAGGAACTCTGACACTAGGGAGCTGCAGAAGATATCATATGACCCTAGTTCCGCTCTATCAGTGTCTGATTTCACTGACCTCCCCAGTGCCCAGGAACAGCTCTCCTCTGTAATGAACACCGTGCTAACCAGGGCCACGCCCATCACACCACCAAAAACTGGTAAGAAAGTGACAGATTTTTATTTTCCAAGGTCATGGTAGGATGCAAATTGAACAGTATGACAGTGTATTTATTGTAGCTGAGGCAAGCCAGCAGCACTCTGAGAATACATTTGTTCCAGATTATACAGAGTACATTGTTAAATTCCAGGTTAGCTTTGGTCATCTGACTTTCACATGGAAAACATTTGACACATGAACCTGAACATGTCTGACATTTTTTATTCCCTAGTGGAGAGACAGCCAGCAGGAAAAGATATTGTGTTCTTGTTGGATGGATCTGATGGTACTAGAACTGGCTTCCCAGCTGTGAAAGACTTTGTCCAAAGAGTTGTAGAGACACTCAGTGTGGATGACAACAAAGACCGTGTCTCAGTGGTTCAGTACAGCAAAGAGCCAGCTGCCCAATTCTATCTGAACACGTACACCACAAAAGGCGACATCCTTGACACTGTCAGAGGATTGAGGCACAAAGGTGGAAGACCCCTCAACACTGGAGCAGCTCTCCAGTACTTGAGGGATAATGTCTTCACGGCCTCTGCTGGAAGCAGGCTCCAGGAAGGAGTCCCACAGGTCCTAGTTTTGATAAGTGGTGGAAGGTCTTTTGACAGTGTTGATGCACCAGCCTCTGCTCTCAAAGAGCTGGGTGTCTTGACCTTTGCAATTGGAACCAGGAGTGCTGATAGCAAAGAACTGCAGAAGATATCCCACGACCCCAGCTATGCACTAACTGTGTCTGAATTCACTGACCTTCCCAATGTCCAACAACAACTTCAGTCCTCCGTGGAGGCTGTGGTTATCGAGGTCTCCCCAGAATCACCACCTGTTCCTGGTATGTTAACAAGCATGGCCCCTTACAGGCCTGATATACATGATTTGTTTGACCTACACTGAGGCAAGGAAAATAAGTGTGAAATTTGTGTAGCCGCATTTCAAAATGAGGGGGAGGTTTTCTCCCATTGTTTACATTAAATTAGCCAGCGTTAGGTGACTGAAAAACAAAAAAGAGAAATCAAATAAAAATTGCACCACTTGATGATTAGCCCAGCAGCGTAGATTTGGCAAAAAAATTCACCTGATGTCTTCCTGTCTTTTCTCAGTCGATACTGCCAAAAAGGATATCGTTTTCCTCCTGGATGGTTCTGATGGCACACGGAATGGCTTCCCTGCCATGCTTGATTTTGTTAAGAGAGTGGTGGAGAAATTGAATGTAGGACCTAACAATGACCGTGTCTCTGTGGTCCAATACAGCAGAGATGCAGAGATCCATTTCTATCTGAACACATACACCACAAGACAGGATATTTTGGATACAGTCAGAGGGCTGAGACATAGAGGAGGCAGACCCCTCAACACCGGGGCGGCCCTCCAATACGTCAGGGACAACGCCTTTACAAACTCCTCCGGGAGCAGGCGCCTGCAAGGTGTTCCACAAATGTTGATCCTGCTAAATGGTGGAAGGTCTTTTGACAATGTAGATACCCCAGCCTCTGCTCTCAAACAGCAGGGTGTCTATGTGATAGGCATTGGCACAAGGAACTCTGACACTAGGGAGCTGCAGAAGATATCATATGACCCTAGTTCTGCTCTATCAGTGTCTGATTTCACTGACCTCCCCAGTGCCAGGAACAGCTCTCCTCTGTAATGAACACAGTGCTAACCAGGGCCACGCCCATCACACCAACAAAAGCTGGTAAGAAAGTGACAGATTTTTATTTTCCAAGGTCATGGTAGGATGCAAATTGAACAGTATGACAGTGTATTTATTGTAGCTGAGGCAAGCCAGCAGCACTCTGAGAATACATTTGTTCCAGATTATACAGAGTACATTGTTAAATTCCAGGTTAGCTTTGGTCATCTGACTTTCACATGGAAAACATTTGACACATGAACCTGAACATGTCTGACATTTTTTATTCCCTAGTGGAGAGACAGCCAGCAGGAAAAGATATTGTGTTCTTGTTGGATGGATCTGATGGTACTAGAACTGGCTTCCCAGCTGTGAAAGACTTTGTCCAAAGAGTTGTAGAGACACTCAGTGTGGATGACAACAAAGACCGTGTCTCAGTGGTTCAGTACAGCAAAGAGCCAGCTGCCCAATTCTATCTGAACACGTACACCACAAAAGGCGACATCCTTGACACTGTCAGAGGATTGAGGCACAAAGGTGGAAGACCCCTCAACACTGGAGCAGCTCTCCAGTACTTGAGGGATAATGTCTTCACGGCCTCTGCTGGAAGCAGGCTCCAGGAAGGAGTCCCACAGGTCCTAGTTTTGATAAGTGGTGGAAGGTCTTTTGACAGTGTTGATGCACCAGCCTCTGCTCTCAAAGAGCTGGGTGTCTTGACCTTTGCAATTGGAACCAGGAGTGCTGATAGCAAAGAACTGCAGAAGATATCCCACGACCCCAGCTATGCACTAACTGTGTCTGAATTCACTGACCTTCCCAATGTCCAACAACAACTTCAGTCCTCCGTGGAGGCTGTGGTTATCGAGGTCTCCCCAGAATCACCACCTGTTCCTGGTATGTTAACAAGCATGGCCCCTTACAGGCCTGATAGATACATGATTTGTTTGACCTACACTGAGGCAAGGAAAATAAGTGTGAAATTTGTGTAGCCGCATTTCAAAATGAGGGGAGGTTTTCTCCCATTGTTTACATTAAATTAGCCAGCGTTAGGTGACTGAAAAACAAAAAAAGAGAAATCAAATAAAAATTGCACCACTTGATGATTAGCCCAGCAGCGTAGATTTGGCAAAAAAATTCACCTGATGTCTTCCTGTCTTTTCTCAGTCGATACTGCCAAAAAGGATATCGTTTTCCTCCTGGATGGTTCTGATGGCACACGGAATGGCTTCCCTGCCATGCTTGATTTTGTTAAGAGAGTGGTGGAGAAATTGAATGTAGGACCTAACAATGACCGTGTCTCTGTGGTCCAATACAGCAGAGATGCAGAGATCCATTTCTATCTGAACACATACACCACAAGACAGGATATTTTGGATACAGTCAGAGGGCTGAGACATAGAGGAGGCAGACCCCTCAACACCGGGGCGGCCCTCCAATACGTCAGGGACAACGCCTTTACAAACTCCTCCGGGAGCAGGCGCCTGCAAGGTGTTCCACAAATGTTGATCCTGCTAAATGGTGGAAGGTCTTTTGACAATGTAGATACCCCAGCCTCTGCTCTCAAACAGCAGGGTGTCTATGTGATAGGCATTGGCACAAGGAACTCTGACACTAGGGAGCTGCAGAAGATATCATATGACCCTAGTTCTGCTCTATCAGTGTCTGATTTCACTGACCTCCCCAGTGCCCAGGAACAGCTCTCCTCTGTAATGAACACAGTGCTAACCAGGGCCACGCCCATCACACCAACAAAAGCTGGTAAGAAAGTGACAGATTTTTATTTTCCAAGGTCATGGTAGGATGCAAATTGAACAGTATGACAGTGTATTTATTGTAGCTGAGGCAAGCCAGCAGCACTCTGAGAATACATTTGTTCCAGATTATACAGAGTACATTGTTAAATTCCAGGTTAGCTTTGGTCATCTGACTTTCACATGGAAAACATTTGACACATGAACCTGAACATGTCTGACATTTTTTATTCCCTAGTGGAGAGACAGCCAGCAGGAAAAGATATTGTGTTCTTGTTGGATGGATCTGATGGTACTAGAACTGGCTTCCCAGCTGTGAAAGACTTTGTCCAAAGAGTTGTAGAGACACTCAGTGTGGATGACAACAAAGACCGTGTCTCAGTGGTTCAGTACAGCAAAGAGCCAGCTGCCCAATTCTATCTGAACACGTACACCACAAAAGGCGACATCCTTGACACTGTCAGAGGATTGAGGCACAAAGGTGGAAGACCCCTCAACACTGGAGCAGCTCTCCAGTACTTGAGGGATAATGTCTTCACGGCCTCTGCTGGAAGCAGGCTCCAGGAAGGAGTCCCACAGGTCCTAGTTTTGATAAGTGGTGGAAGGTCTTTTGACAGTGTTGATGCACCAGCCTCTGCTCTCAAAGAGCTGGGTGTCTTGACCTTTGCAATTGGAACCAGGAGTGCTGATAGCAAAGAACTGCAGAAGATATCCCACGACCCCAGCTATGCACTAACTGTGTCTGAATTCACTGACCTTCCCAATGTCCAACAACAACTTCAGTCCTCCGTGGAGGCTGTGGTTATCGAGGTCCCCAGAATCACCACCTGTTCCTGGTATGTTAACAAGCATGGCCCTTACAGGCCTGATAGATACATGATTTGTTTGACCTACACTGAGGCAAGGAAAATAAGTGTGAAATTTGTGTAGCCGCATTTCAAAATGAGGGGGAGGTTTTCTCCCATTGTTTACATTAAATTAGCCAGCGTTAGGTGACTGAAAAACAAAAAAAGAGAAATCAAATAAAAATTGCACCACTTGATGATTAGCCCAGCAGCGTAGATTTGGCAAAAAAATTCACCTGATGTCTTCCTGTCTTTTCTCAGTCGATACTGCCAAAAAGGATATCGTTTTCCTCCTGGATGGTTCTGATGGCACACGGAATGGCTTCCCTGCCATGCTTGATTTTGTTAAGAGAGTGGTGGAGAAATTGAATGTAGGACCTAACAATGACCGTGTCTCTGTGGTCCAATACAGCAGAGATGCAGAGATCCATTTCTATCTGAACACATACACCACAAGACAGGATATTTTGGATACAGTCAGAGGGCTGAGACATAGAGGAGGCAGACCCCTCAACACCGGGGCGGCCCTCCAATACGTCAGGGACAACGCCTTTACAAACTCCTCCGGGAGCAGGCGCCTGCAAGGTGTTCCACAAATGTTGATCCTGCTAAATGGTGGAAGGTCTTTTGACAATGTAGATACCCCAGCCTCTGCTCTCAAACAGCAGGGTGTCTATGTGATAGGCATTGGCACAAGGAACTCTGACACTAGGGAGCTGCAGAAGATATCATATGACCCTAGTTCTGCTCTATCAGTGTCTGATTTCACTGACCTCCCCAGTGCCCAGGAACAGCTCTCCTCTGTAATGAACACAGTGCTAACCAGGGCCACGCCCATCACACCAAAAAGCTGGTAAGAAAGTGACAGATTTTTATTTTCCAAGGTCATGGTAGGATGCAAATTGAACAGTATGACAGTGTATTTATTGTAGCTGAGGCAAGCCAGCAGCACTCTGAGAATACATTTGTTCCAGATTATACAGAGTACATTGTTAAATTCCAGGTTAGCTTTGGTCATCTGACTTTCACATGGAAAACATTTGACACATGAACCTGAACATGTCTGACATTTTTTATTCCCTAGTGGAGAGACAGCCAGCAGGAAAAGATATTGTGTTCTTGTTGGATGGATCTGATGGTACTAGAACTGGCTTCCCAGCTGTGAAAGACTTTGTCCAAAGAGTTGTAGAGACACTCAGTGTGGATGACAACAAAGACCGTGTCTCAGTGGTTCAGTACAGCAAAGAGCCAGCTGCCCAATTCTATCTGAACACGTACACCACAAAAGGCGACATCCTTGACACTGTCAGAGGATTGAGGCACAAAGGTGGAAGACCCCTCAACACTGGAGCAGCTCTCCAGTACTTGAGGGATAATGTCTTCACGGCCTCTGCTGGAAGCAGGCTCCAGGAAGGAGTCCCACAGGTCCTAGTTTTGATAAGTGGTGGAAGGTCTTTTGACAGTGTTGATGCACCAGCCTCTGCTCTCAAAGAGCTGGGTGTCTTGACCTTTGCAATTGGAACCAGGAGTGCTGATAGCAAAGAACTGCAGAAGATATCCCACGACCCCAGCTATGCACTAACTGTGTCTGAATTCACTGACCTTCCCAATGTCCAACAACAACTTCAGTCCTCCGTGGAGGCTGTGGTTATCGAGGTCTCCCCAGAATCACCACCTGTTCCTGGTATGTTAACAAGCATGGCCCCTTACAGGCCTGATAGATACATGATTTGTTTGACCTACACTGAGGCAAGGAAAATAAGTGTGAAATTTGTGTAGCCGCATTTCAAAATGAGGGGGAGGTTTTCTCCCATTGTTTACATTAAATTAGCCAGCGTTAGGTGACTGAAAAACAAAAAGAGAAATCAAATAAAAATTGCACCACTTGATGATTAGCCAGCAGCGTAGATTTGGCAAAAAAATTCACCTGATGTCTTCCTGTCTTTTCTCAGTCGATACTGCCAAAAAGGATATCGTTTTCCTCCTGGATGGTTCTGATGGCACACGGAATGGCTTCCCTGCCATGCTTGATTTTGTTAAGAGAGTGGTGGAGAAATTGAATGTAGGACCTAACAATGACCGTGTCTCTGTGGTCCAATACAGCAGAGATGCAGAGATCCATTTCTATCTGAACACATACACCACAAGACAGGATATTTTGGATACAGTCAGAGGGCTGAGACATAGAGGAGGCAGACCCCTCAACACCGGGGCGGCCCTCCAATACGTCAGGGACAACGCCTTTACAAACTCCTCCGGGAGCAGGCGCCTGCAAGGTGTTCCACAAATGTTGATCCTGCTAAATGGTGGAAGGTCTTTTGACAATGTAGATACCCCAGCCTCTGCTCTCAAACAGCAGGGTGTCTATGTGATAGGCATTGGCACAAGGAACTCTGACACTAGGGAGCTGCAGAAGATATCATATGACCCTAGTTCGCTCTATCAGTGTCTGATTTCACTGACCTCCCCAGTGCCCAGGAACAGCTCTCCTCTGTAATGAACACAGTGCTAACCAGGGCCACGCCCATCACACCAAAAAAGCTGGTAAGAAAGTGACAGATTTTTATTTTCCAAGGTCATGGTAGGATGCAAATTGAACAGTATGACAGTGTATTTATTGTAGCTGAGGCAAGCCAGCAGCACTCTGAGAATACATTTGTTCCAGATTATACAGAGTACATTGTTAAATTCCAGGTTAGCTTTGGTCATCTGACTTTCACATGGAAAACATTTGACACATGAACCTGAACATGTCTGACATTTTTTATTCCCTAGTGGAGAGACAGCCAGCAGGAAAAGATATTGTGTTCTTGTTGGATGGATCTGATGGTACTAGAACTGGCTTCCCAGCTGTGAAAGACTTTGTCCAAAGAGTTGTAGAGACACTCAGTGTGGATGACAACAAAGACCGTGTCTCAGTGGTTCAGTACAGCAAAGAGCCAGCTGCCCAATTCTATCTGAACACGTACACCACAAAAGGCGACATCCTTGACACTGTCAGAGGATTGAGGCACAAAGGTGGAAGACCCCTCAACACTGGAGCAGCTCTCCAGTACTTGAGGGATAATGTCTTCACGGCCTCTGCTGGAAGCAGGCTCCAGGAAGGAGTCCCACAGGTCCTAGTTTTGATAAGTGGTGGAAGGTCTTTTGACAGTGTTGATGCACCAGCCTCTGCTCTCAAAGAGCTGGGTGTCTTGACCTTTGCAATTGGAACCAGGAGTGCTGATAGCAAAGAACTGCAGAAGATATCCCACGACCCCAGCTATGCACTAACTGTGTCTGAATTCACTGACCTTCCCAATGTCCAACAACAACTTCAGTCCTCCGTGGAGGCTGTGGTTATCGAGGTCTCCCCAGAATCACCACCTGTTCCTGGTATGTTAACAAGCATGGCCCCTTACAGGCCTGATAGACACATGATTTGTTTGACCTACACTGAGGCAAGGAAAATAAGTGTGAAATTTGTGTAGCCGCATTTCAAAATGAGGGGGAGGTTTTCCCATTGTTTACATTAAATTAGCCAGCGTTAGGTGACTGAAAAACAAAAAAGAGAAATCAAATAAAAATTGCACCACTTGATGATTAGCCCAGCAGCGTAGATTTGGCAAAAAAATTCACCTGATGTCTTCCTGTCTTTTCTCAGTCGATACTGCCAAAAAGGATATCGTTTTCCTCCTGGATGGTTCTGATGGCACACGGAATGGCTTCCCTGCCATGCTTGATTTTGTTAAGAGAGTGGTGGAGAAATTGAATGTAGGACCTAACAATGACCGTGTCTCTGTGGTCCAATACAGCAGAGATGCAGAGATCCATTTCTATCTGAACACATACACCACAAGACAGGATATTTTGGATACAGTCAGAGGGCTGAGACATAGAGGAGGCAGACCCCTCAACACCGGGGCGGCCCTCCAATACGTCAGGGACAACGCCTTTACAAACTCCTCCGGGAGCAGGCGCCTGCAAGGTGTTCCACAAATGTTGATCCTGCTAAATGGTGGAAGGTCTTTTGACAATGTAGATACCCCAGCCTCTGCTCTCAAACAGCAGGGTGTCTATGTGATAGGCATTGGCACAAGGAACTCTGACACTAGGGAGCTGCAGAAGATATCATATGACCCTAGTTTGCTCTATCAGTGTCTGATTTCACTGACCTCCCCAGTGCCCAGGAACAGCTCTCCTCTGTAATGAACACCGTGCTAACCAGGGCCACGCCCATCACACCACCAAAAACTGGTAAGAAAGTGACAGATTTTTATTTTCCAAGGTCATGGTAGGATGCAAATTGAACAGTATGACAGTGTATTTATTGTAGCTGAGGCAAGCCAGCAGCACTCTGAGAATACATTTGTTCCAGATTATACAGAGTACATTGTTAAATTCCAGGTTAGCTTTGGTCATCTGACTTTCACATGGAAAACATTTGACACATGAACCTGAACATGTCTGACATTTTTTATTCCCTAGTGGAGAGACAGCCAGCAGGAAAAGATATTGTGTTCTTGTTGGATGGATCTGATGGTACTAGAACTGGCTTCCCAGCTGTGAAAGACTTTGTCCAAAGAGTTGTAGAGACACTCAGTGTGGATGACAACAAAGACCGTGTCTCAGTGGTTCAGTACAGCAAAGAGCCAGCTGCCCAATTCTATCTGAACACGTACACCACAAAAGGCGACATCCTTGACACTGTCAGAGGATTGAGGCACAAAGGTGGAAGACCCCTCAACACTGGAGCAGCTCTCCAGTACTTGAGGGATAATGTCTTCACGGCCTCTGCTGGAAGCAGGCTCCAGGAAGGAGTCCCACAGGTCCTAGTTTTGATAAGTGGTGGAAGGTCTTTTGACAGTGTTGATGCACCAGCCTCTGCTCTCAAAGAGCTGGGTGTCTTGACCTTTGCAATTGGAACCAGGAGTGCTGATAGCAAAGAACTGCAGAAGATATCCCACGACCCCAGCTATGCACTAACTGTGTCTGAATTCACTGACCTTCCCAATGTCCAACAACAACTTCAGTCCTCCGTGGAGGCTGTGGTTATCGAGGTCTCCCCAGAATCACCACCTGTTCCTGGTATGTTAACAAGCATGGCCCCTTACAGGCCTGATAGATACATGATTTGTTTGACCTACACTGAGGCAAGGAAAATAAGTGTGAAATTTGTGTAGCCGCATTTCAAAATGAGGGGGAGGTTTTCTCCCATTGTTTACATTAAATTAGCCAGCGTTAGGTGACTGAAAAACAAAAAAAGAGAAATCAAATAAAAATTGCACCACTTGATGATTAGCCCAGCAGCGTAGATTTGGCAAAAAAATTCACCTGATGTCTTCCTGTCTTTTCTCAGTCGATACTGCCAAAAAGGATATCGTTTTCCTCCTGGATGGTTCTGATGGCACACGGAATGGCTTCCCTGCCATGCTTGATTTTGTTAAGAGAGTGGTGGAGAAATTGAATGTAGGACCTAACAATGACCGTGTCTCTGTGGTCCAATACAGCAGAGATGCAGAGATCCATTTCTATCTGAACACATACACCACAAGACAGGATATTTTGGATACAGTCAGAGGGCTGAGACATAGAGGAGGCAGACCCCTCAACACCGGGGCGGCCCTCCAATACGTCAGGGACAACGCCTTTACAAACTCCTCCGGGAGCAGGCGCCTGCAAGGTGTTCCACAAATGTTGATCCTGCTAAATGGTGGAAGGTCTTTTGACAATGTAGATACCCCAGCCTCTGCTCTCAAACAGCAGGGTGTCTATGTGATAGGCATTGGCACAAGGAACTCTGACACTAGGGAGCTGCAGAAGATATCATATGACCCTAGTTCTGCTCTATCAGTGTCTGATTTCACTGACCTCCCCAGTGCCCAGGAACAGCTCTCCTCTGTAATGAACACAGTGCTAACCAGGGCCACGCCCATCACACCAACAAAAGCTGGTAAGAAAGTGACAGATTTTTATTTTCCAAGGTCATGGTAGGATGCAAATTGAACAGTATGACAGTGTATTTATTGTAGCTGAGGCAAGCCAGCAGCACTCTGAGAATACATTTGTTCCAGATTATACAGAGTACATTGTTAAATTCCAGGTTAGCTTTGGTCATCTGACTTTCACATGGAAAACATTTGACACATGAACCTGAACATGTCTGACATTTTTTATTCCCTAGTGGAGAGACAGCCAGCAGGAAAAGATATTGTGTTCTTGTTGGATGGATCTGATGGTACTAGAACTGGCTTCCCAGCTGTGAAAGACTTTGTCCAAAGAGTTGTAGAGACACTCAGTGTGGATGACAACAAAGACCGTGTCTCAGTGGTTCAGTACAGCAAAGAGCCAGCTGCCCAATTCTATCTGAACACGTACACCACAAAAGGCGACATCCTTGACACTGTCAGAGGATTGAGGCACAAAGGTGGAAGACCCCTCAACACTGGAGCAGCTCTCCAGTACTTGAGGGATAATGTCTTCACGGCCTCTGCTGGAAGCAGGCTCCAGGAAGGAGTCCCACAGGTCCTAGTTTTGATAAGTGGTGGAAGGTCTTTTGACAGTGTTGATGCACCAGCCTCTGCTCTCAAAGAGCTGGGTGTCTTGACCTTTGCAATTGGAACCAGGAGTGCTGATAGCAAAGAACTGCAGAAGATATCCCACGACCCCAGCTATGCACTAACTGTGTCTGAATTCACTGACCTTCCCAATGTCCAACAACAACTTCAGTCCTCCGTGGAGGCTGTGGTTATCGAGGTCTCCCCAGAATCACCACCTGTTCCTGGTATGTTAACAAGCATGGCCCCTTACAGGCCTGATAGATACATGATTTGTTTGACCTACACTGAGGCAAGGAAAATAAGTGTGAAATTTGTGTAGCCGCATTTCAAAATGAGGGGGAGGTTTTCTCCCATTGTTTACATTAAATTAGCCAGCGTTAGGTGACTGAAAAACAAAAAAAGAGAAATCAAATAAAAATTGCACCACTTGATGATTAGCCCAGCAGCGTAGATTTGGCAAAAAAATTCACCTGATGTCTTCCTGTCTTTTCTCAGTCGATACTGCCAAAAAGGATATCGTTTTCCTCCTGGATGGTTCTGATGGCACACGGAATGGCTTCCCTGCCATGCTTGATTTTGTTAAGAGAGTGGTGGAGAAATTGAATGTAGGACCTAACAATGACCGTGTCTCTGTGGTCCAATACAGCAGAGATGCAGAGATCCATTTCTATCTGAACACATACACCACAAGACAGGATATTTTGGATACAGTCAGAGGGCTGAGACATAGAGGAGGCAGACCCCTCAACACCGGGGCGGCCCTCCAATACGTCAGGGACAACGCCTTTACAAACTCCTCCGGGAGCAGGCGCCTGCAAGGTGTTCCACAAATGTTGATCCTGCTAAATGGTGGAAGGTCTTTTGACAATGTAGATACCCCAGCCTCTGCTCTCAAACAGCAGGGTGTCTATGTGATAGGCATTGGCACAAGGAACTCTGACACTAGGGAGCTGCAGAAGATATCATATGACCCTAGTTCTGCTCTATCAGTGTCTGATTTCACTGACCTCCCCAGTGCCCAGGAACAGCTCTCCTCTGTAATGAACACAGTGCTAACCAGGGCCACGCCCATCACACCAACAAAAGCTGGTAAGAAAGTGACAGATTTTTATTTTCCAAGGTCATGGTAGGATGCAAATTGAACAGTATGACAGTGTATTTATTGTAGCTGAGGCAAGCCAGCAGCACTCTGAGAATACATTTGTTCCAGATTATACAGAGTACATTGTTAAATTCCAGGTTAGCTTTGGTCATCTGACTTTCACATGGAAAACATTTGACACATGAACCTGAACATGTCTGACATTTTTTATTCCCTAGTGGAGAGACAGCCAGCAGGAAAAGATATTGTGTTCTTGTTGGATGGATCTGATGGTACTAGAACTGGCTTCCCAGCTGTGAAAGACTTTGTCCAAAGAGTTGTAGAGACACTCAGTGTGGATGACAACAAAGACCGTGTCTCAGTGGTTCAGTACAGCAAAGAGCCAGCTGCCCAATTCTATCTGAACACGTACACCACAAAAGGCGACATCCTTGACACTGTCAGAGGATTGAGGCACAAAGGTGGAAGACCCCTCAACACTGGAGCAGCTCTCCAGTACTTGAGGGATAATGTCTTCACGGCCTCTGCTGGAAGCAGGCTCCAGGAAGGAGTCCCACAGGTCCTAGTTTTGATAAGTGGTGGAAGGTCTTTTGACAGTGTTGATGCACCAGCCTCTGCTCTCAAAGAGCTGGGTGTCTTGACCTTTGCAATTGGAACCAGGAGTGCTGATAGCAAAGAACTGCAGAAGATATCCCACGACCCCAGCTATGCACTAACTGTGTCTGAATTCACTGACCTTCCCAATGTCCAACAACAACTTCAGTCCTCCGTGGAGGCTGTGGTTATCGAGGTCTCCCCAGAATCACCACCTGTTCCTGGTATGTTAACAAGCATGGCCCCTTACAGGCCTGATAGATACATGATTTGTTTGACCTACACTGAGGCAAGGAAAATAAGTGTGAAATTTGTGTAGCCGCATTCAAAATGAGGGGGAGGTTTTCTCCCATTGTTTACATTAAATTAGCCAGCGTTAGGTGACTGAAAAACAAAAAAGAGAAATCAAATAAAAATTGCACCACTTGATGATTAGCCCAGCAGCGTAGATTTGGCAAAAAAATTCACCTGATGTCTTCCTGTCTTTTCTCAGTCGATACTGCCAAAAAGGATATCGTTTTCCTCCTGGATGGTTCTGATGGCACACGGAATGGCTTCCCTGCCATGCTTGATTTTGTTAAGAGAGTGGTGGAGAAATTGAATGTAGGACCTAACAATGACCGTGTCTCTGTGGTCCAATACAGCAGAGATGCAGAGATCCATTTCTATCTGAACACATACACCACAAGACAGGATATTTTGGATACAGTCAGAGGGCTGAGACATAGAGGAGGCAGACCCTCAACACCGGGGCGGCCCTCCAATACGTCAGGGACAACGCCTTTACAAACTCCTCCGGGAGCAGGCGCCTGCAAGGTGTTCCACAAATGTTGATCCTGCTAAATGGTGGAAGGTCTTTTGACAATGTAGATACCCCAGCCTCTGCTCTCAAACAGCAGGGTGTCTATGTGATAGGCATTGGCACAAGGAACTCTGACACTAGGGAGCTGCAGAAGATATCATATGACCCTAGTTCTGCTCTATCAGTGTCTGATTTCACTGACCTCCCCAGTGCCCAGGAACAGCTCTCCTCTGTAATGAACACAGTGCTAACCAGGGCCACGCCCATCACACCACAAAAGCTGGTAAGAAAGTGACAGATTTTTATTTTCCAAGGTCATGGTAGGATGCAAATTGAACAGTATGACAGTGTATTTATTGTAGCTGAGGCAAGCCAGCAGCACTCTGAGAATACATTTGTTCCAGATTATACAGAGTACATTGTTAAATTCCAGGTTAGCTTTGGTCATCTGACTTTCACATGGAAAACATTTGACACATGAACCTGAACATGTCTGACATTTTTTATTCCCTAGTGGAGAGACAGCCAGCAGGAAAAGATATTGTGTTCTTGTTGGATGGATCTGATGGTACTAGAACTGGCTTCCCAGCTGTGAAAGACTTTGTCCAAAGAGTTGTAGAGACACTCAGTGTGGATGACAACAAAGACCGTGTCTCAGTGGTTCAGTACAGCAAAGAGCCAGCTGCCCAATTCTATCTGAACACGTACACCACAAAAGGCGACATCCTTGACACTGTCAGAGGATTGAGGCACAAAGGTGGAAGACCCCTCAACACTGGAGCAGCTCTCCAGTACTTGAGGGATAATGTCTTCACGGCCTCTGCTGGAAGCAGGCTCCAGGAAGGAGTCCCACAGGTCCTAGTTTTGATAAGTGGTGGAAGGTCTTTTGACAGTGTTGATGCACCAGCCTCTGCTCTCAAAGAGCTGGGTGTCTTGACCTTTGCAATTGGAACCAGGAGTGCTGATAGCAAAGAACTGCAGAAGATATCCCACGACCCCAGCTATGCACTAACTGTGTCTGAATTCACTGACCTTCCCAATGTCCAACAACAACTTCAGTCCTCCGTGGAGGCTGTGGTTATCGAGGTCTCCCCAGAATCACCACCTGTTCCTGGTATGTTAACAAGCATGGCCCCTTACAGGCCTGATAGATACATGATTTGTTTGACCTACACTGAGGCAAGGAAAATAAGTGTGAAATTTGTGTAGCCGCATTTCAAAATGAGGGGGAGGTTTTCTCCCATTGTTTACATTAAATTAGCCAGCGTTAGGTGACTGAAAAACAAAAAAGAGAAATCAAATAAAAATTGCACACTTGATGATTAGCCCAGCAGCGTAGATTTGGCAAAAAAATTCACCTGATGTCTTCCTGTCTTTTCTCAGTCGATACTGCCAAAAAGGATATCGTTTTCCTCCTGGATGGTTCTGATGGCACACGGAATGGCTTCCCTGCCATGCTTGATTTTGTTAAGAGAGTGGTGGAGAAATTGAATGTAGGACCTAACAATGACCGTGTCTCTGTGGTCCAATACAGCAGAGATGCAGAGATCCATTTCTATCTGAACACATACACCACAAGACAGGATATTTTGGATACAGTCAGAGGGCTGAGACATAGAGGAGGCAGACCCTCAACACCGGGGCGGCCCTCCAATACGTCAGGGACAACGCCTTTACAAACTCCTCCGGGAGCAGGCGCCTGCAAGGTGTTCCACAAATGTTGATCCTGCTAAATGGTGGAAGGTCTTTTGACAATGTAGATACCCCAGCCTCTGCTCTCAAACAGCAGGGTGTCTATGTGATAGGCATTGGCACAAGGAACTCTGACACTAGGGAGCTGCAGAAGATATCATATGACCCTAGTTCTGCTCTATCAGTGTCTGATTTCACTGACCTCCCAGTGCCCAGGAACAGCTCTCCTCTGTAATGAACACAGTGCTAACCAGGGCCACGCCCATCACACCAACAAAAGCTGGTAAGAAAGTGACAGATTTTTATTTTCCAAGGTCATGGTAGGATGCAAATTGAACAGTATGACAGTGTATTTATTGTAGCTGAGGCAAGCCAGCAGCACTCTGAGAATACATTTGTTCCAGATTATACAGAGTACATTGTTAAATTCCAGGTTAGCTTTGGTCATCTGACTTTCACATGGAAAACATTTGACACATGAACCTGAACATGTCTGACATTTTTTATTCCCTAGTGGAGAGACAGCCAGCAGGAAAAGATATTGTGTTCTTGTTGGATGGATCTGATGGTACTAGAACTGGCTTCCCAGCTGTGAAAGACTTTGTCCAAAGAGTTGTAGAGACACTCAGTGTGGATGACAACAAAGACCGTGTCTCAGTGGTTCAGTACAGCAAAGAGCCAGCTGCCCAATTCTATCTGAACACGTACACCACAAAAGGCGACATCCTTGACACTGTCAGAGGATTGAGGCACAAAGGTGGAAGACCCCTCAACACTGGAGCAGCTCTCCAGTACTTGAGGGATAATGTCTTCACGGCCTCTGCTGGAAGCAGGCTCCAGGAAGGAGTCCCACAGGTCCTAGTTTTGATAAGTGGTGGAAGGTCTTTTGACAGTGTTGATGCACCAGCCTCTGCTCTCAAAGAGCTGGGTGTCTTGACCTTTGCAATTGGAACCAGGAGTGCTGATAGCAAAGAACTGCAGAAGATATCCCACGACCCCAGCTATGCACTAACTGTGTCTGAATTCACTGACCTTCCCAATGTCCAACAACAACTTCAGTCCTCCGTGGAGGCTGTGGTTATCGAGGTCTCCCCAGAATCACCACCTGTTCCTGGTATGTTAACAAGCATGGCCCCTTACAGGCCTGATAGACACATGATTTGTTTGACCTACACTGAGGCAAGGAAAATAAGTGTGAAATTTGTGTAGCCGCATTTCAAAATGAGGGGGAGGTTTTCTCCCATTGTTTACATTAAATTAGCCAGCGTTAGGTGACTGAAAAACAAAAAAGAGAAATCAAATAAAAATTGCACCACTTGATGATTAGCCCAGCAGCGTAGATTTGGCAAAAAAATTCACCTGATGTCTTCCTGTCTTTTCTCAGTCGATACTGCCAAAAAGGATATCGTTTTCCTCCTGGATGGTTCTGATGGCACACGGAATGGCTTCCCTGCCATGCTTGATTTTGTTAAGAGAGTGGTGGAGAAATTGAATGTAGGACCTAACAATGACCGTGTCTCTGTGGTCCAATACAGCAGAGATGCAGAGATCCATTTCTATCTGAACACATACACCACAAGACAGGATATTTTGGATACAGTCAGAGGGCTGAGACATAGAGGAGGCAGACCCCTCAACACCGGGGCGGCCCTCCAATACGTCAGGGACAACGCCTTTACAAACTCCTCCGGGAGCAGGCGCCTGCAAGGTGTTCCACAAATGTTGATCCTGCTAAATGGTGGAAGGTCTTTTGACAATGTAGATACCCCAGCCTCTGCTCTCAAACAGCAGGGTGTCTATGTGATAGGCATTGGCACAAGGAACTCTGACACTAGGGAGCTGCAGAAGATATCATATGACCCTAGTTCTGCTCTATCAGTGTCTGATTTCACTGACCTCCCCAGTGCCCAGGAACAGCTCTCCTCTGTAATGAACACAGTGCTAACCAGGGCCACGCCCATCACACCAACAAAAGCTGGTAAGAAAGTGACAGATTTTTATTTTCCAAGGTCATGGTAGGATGCAAATTGAACAGTATGACAGTGTATTTATTGTAGCTGAGGCAAGCCAGCAGCACTCTGAGAATACATTTGTTCCAGATTATACAGAGTACATTGTTAAATTCCAGGTTAGCTTTGGTCATCTGACTTTCACATGGAAAACATTTGACACATGAACCTGAACATGTCTGACATTTTTTATTCCCTAGTGGAGAGACAGCCAGCAGGAAAAGATATTGTGTTCTTGTTGGATGGATCTGATGGTACTAGAACTGGCTTCCCAGCTGTGAAAGACTTTGTCCAAAGAGTTGTAGAGACACTCAGTGTGGATGACAACAAAGACCGTGTCTCAGTGGTTCAGTACAGCAAAGAGCCAGCTGCCCAATTCTATCTGAACACGTACACCACAAAAGGCGACATCCTTGACACTGTCAGAGGATTGAGGCACAAAGGTGGAAGACCCCTCAACACTGGAGCAGCTCTCCAGTACTTGAGGGATAATGTCTTCACGGCCTCTGCTGGAAGCAGGCTCCAGGAAGGAGTCCCACAGGTCCTAGTTTTGATAAGTGGTGGAAGGTCTTTTGACAGTGTTGATGCACCAGCCTCTGCTCTCAAAGAGCTGGGTGTCTTGACCTTTGCAATTGGAACCAGGAGTGCTGATAGCAAAGAACTGCAGAAGATATCCCACGACCCCAGCTATGCACTAACTGTGTCTGAATTCACTGACCTTCCCAATGTCCAACAACAACTTCAGTCCTCCGTGGAGGCTGTGGTTATCGAGGTCTCCCCAGAATCACCACCTGTTCCTGGTATGTTAACAAGCATGGCCCCTTACAGGCCTGATAGATACATGATTTGTTTGACCTACACTGAGGCAAGGAAAATAAGTGTGAAATTTGTGTAGCCGCATTCAAAATGAGGGGGAGGTTTTCTCCCATTGTTTACATTAAATTAGCCAGCGTTAGGTGACTGAAAAACAAAAAAGAGAAATCAAATAAAAATTGCACACTTGATGATTAGCCCAGCAGCGTAGATTTGGCAAAAAAATTCACCTGATGTCTTCCTGTCTTTTCTCAGTCGATACTGCCAAAAAGGATATCGTTTTCCTCCTGGATGGTTCTGATGGCACACGGAATGGCTTCCCTGCCATGCTTGATTTTGTTAAGAGAGTGGTGGAGAAATTGAATGTAGGACCTAACAATGACCGTGTCTCTGTGGTCCAATACAGCAGAGATGCAGAGATCCATTTCTATCTGAACACATACACCACAAGACAGGATATTTTGGATACAGTCAGAGGGCTGAGACATAGAGGAGGCAGACCCCTCAACACCGGGGCGGCCCTCCAATACGTCAGGGACAACGCCTTTACAAACTCCTCCGGGAGCAGGCGCCTGCAAGGTGTTCCACAAATGTTGATCCTGCTAAATGGTGGAAGGTCTTTTGACAATGTAGATACCCCAGCCTCTGCTCTCAAACAGCAGGGTGTCTATGTGATAGGCATTGGCACAAGGAACTCTGACACTAGGGAGCTGCAGAAGATATCATATGACCCTAGTTCCGCTCTATCAGTGTCTGATTTCACTGACCTCCCCAGTGCCCAGGAACAGCTCTCCTCTGTAATGAACACCGTGCTAACCAGGGCCACGCCCATCACACCAAAAAACTGGTAAGAAAGTGACAGATTTTTATTTTCCAAGGTCATGGTAGGATGCAAATTGAACAGTATGACAGTGTATTTATTGTAGCTGAGGCAAGCCAGCAGCACTCTGAGAATACATTTGTTCCAGATTATACAGAGTACATTGTTAAATTCCAGGTTAGCTTTGGTCATCTGACTTTCACATGGAAAACATTTGACACATGAACCTGAACATGTCTGACATTTTTTATTCCCTAGTGGAGAGACAGCCAGCAGGAAAAGATATTGTGTTCTTGTTGGATGGATCTGATGGTACTAGAACTGGCTTCCCAGCTGTGAAAGACTTTGTCCAAAGAGTTGTAGAGACACTCAGTGTGGATGACAACAAAGACCGTGTCTCAGTGGTTCAGTACAGCAAAGAGCCAGCTGCCCAATTCTATCTGAACACGTACACCACAAAAGGCGACATCCTTGACACTGTCAGAGGATTGAGGCACAAAGGTGGAAGACCCCTCAACACTGGAGCAGCTCTCCAGTACTTGAGGGATAATGTCTTCACGGCCTCTGCTGGAAGCAGGCTCCAGGAAGGAGTCCCACAGGTCCTAGTTTTGATAAGTGGTGGAAGGTCTTTTGACAGTGTTGATGCACCAGCCTCTGCTCTCAAAGAGCTGGGTGTCTTGACCTTTGCAATTGGAACCAGGAGTGCTGATAGCAAAGAACTGCAGAAGATATCCCACGACCCCAGCTATGCACTAACTGTGTCTGAATTCACTGACCTTCCCAATGTCCAACAACAACTTCAGTCCTCCGTGGAGGCTGTGGTTATCGAGGTCTCCCAGAATCACCACCTGTTCCTGGTATGTTAACAAGCATGGCCCCTTACAGGCCTGATAGATACATGATTTGTTTGACCTACACTGAGGCAAGGAAAATAAGTGTGAAATTTGTGTAGCCGCATTTCAAAATGAGGGGGAGGTTTTCTCCCATTGTTTACATTAAATTAGCCAGCGTTAGGTGACTGAAAAACAACAAAAGAGAAATCAAATAAAAATTGCATCACTTGATGATTAGCCCAGCAGCGTAGATTTGGCAAAAAAATTCACCTGATGTCTTCCTGTCTTTTCTCAGTCGATACTGCCAAAAAGGATATCGTTTTCCTCCTGGATGGTTCTGATGGCACACGGAATGGCTTCCCTGCCATGCTTGATTTTGTTAAGAGAGTGGTGGAGAAATTGAATGTAGGACCTAACAATGACCGTGTCTCTGTGGTCCAATACAGCAGAGATGCAGAGATCCATTTCTATCTGAACACATACACCACAAGACAGGATATTTTGGATACAGTCAGAGGGCTGAGACATAGAGGAGGCAGACCCCTCAACACCGGGGCGGCCCTCCAATACGTCAGGGACAACGCCTTTACAAACTCCTCCGGGAGCAGGCGCCTGCAAGGTGTTCCACAAATGTTGATCCTGCTAAATGGTGGAAGGTCTTTTGACAATGTAGATACCCCAGCCTCTGCTCTCAAACAGCAGGGTGTCTATGTGATAGGCATTGGCACAAGGAACTCTGACACTAGGGAGCTGCAGAAGATATCATATGACCCTAGTTACACTCTATCAGTGTCTGATTTCACTGACCTCCCCAGTGCCCAGGAACAGCTCTCCTCTGTAATGAACACAGTGCTAACCAGGGCCCCGCCCGTCACACCCAGAAAAACTGGTAAGAAAGTGACAGATTTTTATTTTCCAAGGTCATGGTAGGATGCAAATTGAACAGTATGACAGTGTATTTATTGTAGCTGAGGCAAGCCAGCAGCACTCTGAGAATACATTTGTTCCAGATTATACAGAGTACATTGTTAAATTCCAGGTTAGCTTTGGTCATCTGACTTTCACATGGAAAACATTTGACACATGAACCTGAACATGTCTGACATTTTTTATTCCCTAGTGGAGAGACAGCCAGCAGGAAAAGATATTGTGTTCTTGTTGGATGGATCTGATGGTACTAGAACTGGCTTCCCAGCTGTGAAAGACTTTGTCCAAAGAGTTGTAGAGACACTCAGTGTGGATGACAACAAAGACCGTGTCTCAGTGGTTCAGTACAGCAAAGAGCCAGCTGCCCAATTCTATCTGAACACGTACACCACAAAAGGCGACATCCTTGACACTGTCAGAGGATTGAGGCACAAAGGTGGAAGACCCCTCAACACTGGAGCAGCTCTCCAGTACTTGAGGGATAATGTCTTCACGGCCTCTGCTGGAAGCAGGCTCCAGGAAGGAGTCCCACAGGTCCTAGTTTTGATAAGTGGTGGAAGGTCTTTTGACAGTGTTGATGCACCAGCCTCTGCTCTCAAAGAGCTGGGTGTCTTGACCTTTGCAATTGGAACCAGGAGTGCTGATAGCAAAGAACTGCAGAAGATATCCCACGACCCCAGCTATGCACTAACTGTGTCTGAATTCACTGACCTTCCCAATGTCCAACAACAACTTCAGTCCTCCGTGGAGGCTGTGGTTATCGAGGTCTCCCCAGAATCACCACCTGTTCCTGGTATGTTAACAAGCATGGCCCCTTACAGGCCTGATAGATACATGATTTGTTTGACCTACACTGAGGCAAGGAAAATAAGTGTGAAATTTGTGTAGCCGCATTCAAAATGAGGGGGAGGTTTTCTCCCATTGTTTACATTAAATTAGCCAGCGTTAGGTGACTGAAAAACAAAAAAGAGAAATCAAATAAAAATTGCATCACTTGATGATTAGCCCAGCAGCGTAGATTTGGCAAAAAAATTCACCTGATGTCTTCCTGTCTTTTCTCAGTCGATACTGCCAAAAAGGATATCGTTTTCCTCCTGGATGGTTCTGATGGCACACGGAATGGCTTCCCTGCCATGCTTGATTTTGTTAAGAGAGTGGTGGAGAAATTGAATGTAGGACCTAACAATGACCGTGTCTCTGTGGTCCAATACAGCAGAGATGCAGAGATCCATTTCTATCTGAACACATACACCACAAGACAGGATATTTTGGATACAGTCAGAGGGCTGAGACATAGAGGAGGCAGACCCCTCAACACCGGGGCGGCCCTCCAATACGTCAGG